GCGTTGTCTTCGGTCTCGTAGTCGGTAACTGAATGAGCTGCGCTCAGTCCTCACTTCTTTTATATCGTGCGCTGTTCGAGCGGATCGTCGCTGATTGGCCGTATTCGTTACGCCGCTAGGCCCCGCCCCCTGGGGAGCGAAGCTCAGGCAGTCAGTTTGATGTTGGCGTCTCGAGATTATGGACTTCCAAGCTTGGGGCAGATTTAAGGAGTCGTCACGTTTGTTAAGAAGACCTTCTTTTTCAATTTCTATAGATTCTCTGATGGTTCTTGTTTTGAAGTGTTCAATGTTGGCTATTTGTTTGCAACTTTCGAAGTTTATTTTATGGCCTGTGTTATGCTCGTGTTGAAATAGAGCAGATGTTAGCTGTCTGTTGCGAATTGCTAGTTTGTGTTCCTCTAATCTTGCGGAAATTCTCCTGTTGGTTTGTCCGATGTAGGTTTGGTGACAGGTTCCACATGCAATTTTGTAAACACCCTGATTTTCCAGTTTGGTTGCATCTTTGGGGTTTCTTAAGATCGATCGAACTGTTTGCTTCGGTTTGTAGATTGTCGATATGTTCTTTTTTCGGAGAATGCGCCCTATCTTGTCGGTGGTTCCTTTCACGTATGGTAGAATAGCTCTTGGTTGATTTTTGTTGTCTTCTTGTCTTCTATATATATATATATATATATATATATATATATATATATATATATATATATATATATATATATATATAGGGCATATATTTCCAGTATATTCCAACATTCTGATAAGGCGTAATCTTGCAATACCTGTATTAATAGTTTGTGAAAGAGGGTTACAAGTTACAACTGTTTGACCGGCACATTTAAATATTTCTGCGGGTAAGTTATTTGTTTCGGGTGACATGTTTGAGTTACTTTATTCATTTCGTCCAAAGATAGAGTTGGTAGCTCAGTTTTTTCCTGCTTTAGTTCTATATCATCTATATCATGTCTATATAGTTCTATATCATATTCTATATCTATCTTAAGTTCTACTTCCTCCATTAATTAACGTACTAAAGTGTTCTTACTACCTTATGATTACTTTTACTCTCTCGTTCAAAAGAATTGCATTATTAGACTTAACTTGGTTCACTTGTGGCGAATACTATGAAAAACTTATCTTTTTGTGTTATCTTGTTTGTAAAATTTTCTGTGTTCGTGTTCTCTATTAAATGTATCAATTTCTTCGATCTCTTTATTGATTTGTCCCTTTTTCTGTTTGTGCTTTTGTTTTTCCTCTTTTCTCTTTACTCGATATTGTCAACATTGCTCCTAGTCCTTCTGTTGATCATTTTCAGACACATATCATTTTTCTCTTTGCTTACTCGTTTGCATTCCCTCGCTGACCTTTGGGTACCTCACCCAACACTTCGTGTGCGGTCTTTTCAACGTGGTTTTTATAAACTCTCAATTTATGTTAAATTTAGAGGGATCTACTTCACTTCTGCGATGTTCTAATAGTTTACGATCTAAGCATATGTGCACGTTGCTTACGATGTCAGTACACTTTAATTTATTGATGTTATATTTGAGTATTTTTGGCTTGGTCTTATAAGTTCCTGGCGTTTGATCTGCATTCTCTGAGACTTCCAGCTATGAGATAGTGATCAGAGCCAATATGACTAAGTTTAATTTTGGCTTGGAGTATTCAAAACTGTTTAAATATAGTCTATAAAATAGTAATATAAAGAAATAAATTACATTTCTTATGAAAATTAAATTTTTTATCCAGAACAGTTTTTTTAATTCAATGCCTTAGCTTTCTTCTATTTTGGCCCTTGTAGAACTTCTTCATTCAATATTCCAGCTTTCCAAGGTATTTCCAGGATTTGACGATAAACCAATATCTGAAAGTTCTAGTTTATTTTAAGCTGTCTTTAACGCACATATCTCACTCAATACAGTAGGGAAGAGGTGGGTACAGTGACACAGAAAAATTTGAATTTCTGTCATCGCTAGACCATTAATAGGATTTTACTTGCAAATATCAATTTGGACGTGTTATTGTGTTGCAAATACATCATGAATGACTACATTGCTATAAATTAAGAAAACAAATAGATTTAAAAAAAAGTCTGAAACTTTGCATTGTCTCAGTGTTCCCTGGTATGAAGGGTACACTGACACAAAGACATTTTTCAACTGTAATATGTAAGTATTATTATTTAGGACTAATTAAACAATAAAAACGTATCTTTATTATTGATCTATAGAAAAATATTATAAATGCTTGTTGTTTTCTATGAAATCAAGTCCGTTTTAACATTAGGAAAAAAGTGTCGACCCCTGCTAATTTTTGGATGGTCCAAAATTTTTATAATCTGGTTGTTGAATATAACACCAATGTCTGTGACACATGGAAACACAAAGCATGTGACATTTTTTGAATTTTTACGTAAAAAACTGACTTCCATCGTACCAATGGTGTTTATCACCACAACTTTCCCAATATAATATTTTTCGATTTCTTTATTGAAATGGGCTTCATATTTGAGTCTCACTAATAAGAAATCATTGATCTTAATGTCGCAAATTTTGGCTGGATCTAATGTCAAATCACATAGGTCTTCATCATCACTATCTGAAAATATTTCACTTCCCTCTGACGTGTCAAAATTATGGAGACTATAAGTTTTACCATCTTCGTCTTCCGACTCAATAACATCATCATTGTTTTTAATGTCTTCTGAGATTATGCTTCTTTTAACTGTTTTCACTTTTTTGGCTCTATTATTTTCAATTTCGTTTTTCTCTGCAGTGTCAGTAGCAATCATAGTCTTGCCTTTTTTTCTTCTAGTTTTAACCGAAATTGTCAGACTTTTTTTTGGATATTCACGAATAGCTGATGGACTTACAAATGTCAATTTTCTTCCACTTGTGGATGAAGGTGACAATTTCTGTAATGGAGTTACGTCCTGGTTCTTGATAGAGTTATCTGTGGTACCTCCTGTCGAGGTAGATGGTTTTGGATCAATATTTGGTGAATTAACTAATGGTCGTTCTGTAACTTGGCTTGCGAAATAATCATCATCATTAAATACGTGACGGTCAAAGGGAAATATTCCAGTTTTTTTAAAAGCTGCCGATATATTTACAGGTATAGATCTGGGGTAAGCGAGTCCCACAAATGATGCTACATGGTAGATTGTCACAGGTGTGCCCGGATTAGCTTTTTCCCACGAACTTAAAGCATCGTTGTAAAATATATGAAACGGTTTTAGCAGACCCACATCTAATGGGTGCAATGAGGAGGCACAGTCAAAACAGTGACCCCATTATCTTTGCACAGAATGATAGCTTCAAGAGATATATGGCTCTCATGGTTGTCCATGATTAATAGTGAAGGGTTAGCTTTTGAACTACAAGTATGTTTAATGAAATGTTTTAAAACTTCAATAAAACATTCTGTGTTCATCCATCCTGCTTTCGTAGCCAAGCCTAACGTCCCACATGGCGCTCCTGCCAACATATGGCTTTTAAAATGGACTCTCGGAAATACCATTACGGGTGGGATTGCACTTCCATTTGCACTTACAATGCAGCATGTGGTAACAAGTGTACCTCTTTCGCTGCTTTGAATTTTAGACACTTGTCTAGTGCCTTTTTTGGCTAGCACCTTTGTCGAATTGTTTTGAACGTCAAAGTTCCGGTTTCGTCTAAATTGTAAATTCTGAATCCATTTGAAAAATTTAGATGTCGCTGCAAAACTATTTCCAACTTATTAAAAAATAAGTTTACATTTTCTTTATTGAATCCTGCTGCTCTTGCTAGACTACATCCCTCTGGAGTTCTTAAGGATATTGTACGATGTCTATGGCGAAATCCTTTATACCAGTCGACTGAAGCTTTTTTTTCCTCCTCCCAATTTTTTGGAATTTTTAATTTATTTGCTTTCGCTAAGTCATATGAAAGTTTGCGACAATCGGTAATTGTTAAACTGTAAAACATTTTTGAACACGTTATGATATAATCAACGAGAGCTTCCTCTAGTTCCAAAGAAAATATTTGGTTTATTTTATAGTTAGGAGCCATTCGGCATTCGGGATCATCTCTGTATTTCTTTACGTATCTGCTTACGGTTTTAAAGCTTAAGTTTTTCTCTCTAGCAGCTTGACGAATTGATATACCACTGATAACTAGATTGACTGCTTCCCTCATAGAATCTTCATTGAATCTACCCACTGTCTTATCCGTTTTCTTCTGACGTACCATCTGTAATGTAAATTCATAATTAACAAAAGCTTCTTAAACCCTAATATGATTTTCCAGCACTCATTTGCTGTCAAGATTTTATGAAATTCACAAGAAGGGTACAGTGACACATCCTGTCACTGTTCCCTATCAATATTCGTGTCACTGTACCCACAATGCTGTTTTATACAAAAATTTGTAAATTTTTTGTTAATCTACAAAGATTTTAAAGAAATTTTATTGCTATTACTTACACTTTATACGACTTTTTTACGACCCAGAACACAATCCAATAATTCAGGTTTGTTTCCTCGTAGTAAACAACTAAAAACACCCTTGACAAAATACTTCTGCACTAACAAAACACAAACATGCGATTTTCTCCAAACACAACAGATTCTGTCAACTTTTTATAAGACAAGTAGTATTCTTATTATACCAACTGTTAAATTCCGCAATATCACCAACTTGCTAACATATTTTCTACTAGGATTTTAAATGTGTCACTGTTCCCTGTGTGTCACTGTTCCCGCCTCTCCCCTACCTAATATTGACCAGTAATAGATGGCTATCACTGCTGTAACGTCAGGGGTTAAAGGTCAAAGTGCGCTTAAGTGCCTTACTTTCTACTGTTATAACTCTTAATACTATTTAATATTTCATTTCACCTGTAACGATGTCATGAAAGGCTTTGGCTGAAAGCCATTTATCTCACCCTTGTATAAGAAAAATAATATTGTATGGTACAGTCAGTATATTATTGATATAGTAAAGTACAAATAAAAATATTTTTTACAGATGTGGCAAAATACTGAAACATTTAAACTTCAATCCTTGCAGAAAGATCCCTCCGTTTACATGGTTGTCAAAATGTATATCGATCTGTATACCTTCCTCCTGTTTTGGACACGACAACGCATCCACGTTCACCACGACAACGACGAGTTCATCGAGAAGATCGACATCGGCCACGTCCCTGAGGCACACCATAAGAGTGCAACCTCCGTTGCAAAATGGACACAAAGTGGCTATTTCTATTGTCTAGTCATTTGTAGGTCTGTAAAGCTGACAGCTTTATTTGTAATCATTCCATTCATAATAAAGGACATGTATAAAAAGTGTTGTAAATTTTGATTAAATAAAGTATTTACCATACTGTTGTTTATAATTGTACATTTTTTTAAACCAATTATTCTTATCTACTATATTTTACTACAGTATGTAACATAGAAATGACTCAAAAAAATAGTTTCAGAAAATCGTAAAATAGTTTCGAAGATGGAAGGTATAATTAGATGTCGCTATTGCGTCCGTATTGAAGCCATGTTATTGTTGCTTCTTAAAAGGCAGAAAATATTGATTTTTCACGTTGAGAACCCCTATGATTAGCTCTTCTGACGAGACCTATTAGGTCGAAATACGTATCAAGAGATACATAGGATTTGTTTGCGTGAAATCAAATATTTGCTGCCTTTTCTCATTTTATCTCAGTTTCAGAAAAAATAGTCTTACAGAAAGAGGGAGAGAGAACAAGGAAGGTAAATTATTGAGGATACAGTTAAAGTGGTTTAAAGGCCGAAGAAAGGAAACTATTCGATCAAAATCAAGCTTTCGGCACAGAATAAATAACAATCAGAATGCCCATTCTGAGATGCCTCCTTTGCAGTTTGTCAGCACGCAATCGTCATATTTTAAATGGAAACATATACTCAAATTGAGAAATTTGTGACAAGCTACGACAGAAGTGTAATTTGAACTTTTAGAGATTAAATCCGTAAACTAATTTTCGAAACCAAATTCAGATTTCTGCTTTAATCTGTGCCTTCTAAGAATTGCAAGGTAAAGCAGACGTTGATAAAGATGTAATTAGAAACATGCGGAATCTAAAATTGCATTCCACAACATATCTTCTCAACTAAGCAAAAATCCTAAGCGAATTGGTTTATTTATTTTACGTATGGCTACATCACAGGTTCATATACTGGTTCATATACAGGTTCTATGTCTCTGACGGAAGTTCCGGCATGGGAGCGGAGCTCAGGATCAGTATTGATTTTTGTAAATTCTCTGACAAGGGCATGTTCCCGGCGGATGGGTGGTGTAACCAGTAAGTGGGGGTGGCCTTGATTGTGCCCGATATAGTTCGCATGGCTTGGTTGAGTTGGACATCAACACGGTGAGTATGTGGACTGTTTATCCATACTGGTGCACAGTATTGCGCTACGGGGTATACCAGTCCTAATGCTGTCGATCTAAGTGTGGGTGCTGAGGAGCCCCATGTAGTGCAGCAGAGCTTTTGCAGGATGTTGTTACGAGTATGGAGTTTTGCAGCAGTCTTAGTAAGATGCTCTTTAAAGTTTTGCGTTCTGTCAAGTGTAACACCTAAGTATTTTGGGTGTTTATGATAGTTAAGGAGTCTATCCTCAAAATGGATTTGAGGTTGATAGTTGGCCATCTTGATGTTCAAATGGAAGCAGGATACTTCTGTCTTAGTTGAATTGGGTTGCAATCTCCATTTGCGGAAATAATTCCCTAGGGCATTTAAATCGTTTGTTAGAAGGCGTTCAGTGACCTCGAATTCTTTATAACTTGCGGCAAGCGTTCAGTCGTCTGCGTATCCAAACTTTTTTTATGTGGTTTCTGGCATGTCTGCTATGTAGAGGCTGAAAAGCATGGGAGCCAGTACGGATCCTTGTGGAAGTCTTTCAGTGGTCTTTCTGCATAGGATTATTCGCATTAATTTATATATTGCCCCTTGTCGCCACGCAGTGTCGTAAGCAGCAGATAGATCGATGAAGACAGAGGTTGTTTTTAGTTGCTTTTGAAAATTTGATTTCACATAATTGTTCTGAAGCTATTTTCTTGTGGCATTGTAAATTAATTACTATTAAACTGGGAATAAGCCACAATTAAAGATAAAAATACGTTTATTGACGTTTCAATTTCCACTTCGGAAATCGTTCTCAAAATACAAACAGTAAATTAAACAAATTTTGTTTTTTGTTACATAGTGAAAAATTCTTCTAATAATTTAATTTTATCTGACTCATTTATATTGACAATTCAGACATACATTATGCATTTTAAAGTAGTATGGTGGAGGTATGTAGATGATGTATTCTCAATATGGCCTCATGGATCAGAGTTGTTGGACACATTCCTAAATAATATAAACGATAAAGAAGAGACAATAACATTTACCATGGAAAAGGAATATAATAACACGCTACCTTTCCTGGATGTTTTAATCTCTAAGAACGATACTGGATATGAGACTCAGGTGTATAGAAAACCAACACACACCAATAGATATTTAAATTTCAAATCAAATCACAATATTAATGTAAAAAAGGGAATAATTAAATCCTTATACGATAGAGCCAAAATTACTTGTTCTAATGAAAATTCGTTCTTGGAGGAGAAACATTTGTTAACATCTGTTTTATTAAAAAATGATTATCCTTTATCGTTTATAAATAAGGAATTTTCAACAATCGATCGAATAGAACAGAACAACTTAGAACGAGATCCTACAGCATACACAAGGAATAATATGAAGAAAATAACAATACCGTACATAAAAGGACTATCAGAAAAACTTAAAAGGATAGGAAATAAATTCAACATTTCAACAACATTCAAAACAACAAACACATTGAGATCTATTTTGTCCAAAACCAAACCTAACAATGAACAAGAAAGGACAAAGAATTGCATTTATAAAATACCTTGTGAATGCGATCAGTTTTATTTAGGTGAATCATCAAGGCCATTAAATGTTAGAATAAGTGAACATCAATCTTATATTAAAAATAAAGAATTTGATAGATCTCAAATCTGTAAACACGCATGGGATAATGAACATAGGGTTCAATGGAGTAATTCAAATGTAGTCCTAAAAGAAACGGATGGTAAAAAAAGAAAAATCAAAGAAGCGGCTCTAATTATGTTAAATGAGGCCAATTGTGTCGCAAATTCTTCGGCAGAATGTAGTAGGATCTGGTTACCAATATTGAAAGAGGAAGTTATTAATAAGAAAATACCAGTATTAGTAAGGCAGTAACATATAGAGGATACATCATTTATGTTTTTTAAATAACGTAACATATAAAATCAGAATTTTGATGTTTGTTGAAGGTAAACTAAATTCACGAACAAATACTTACAATGTCGGGATAGTATTATGAGGTTTTTTCCTGGTTTTCCCTCATAATTTACTATGGAATCACTAACAGGAGAATTTTACTGTCATCATGTCATGTGTTTGTCTTTTTAAAGACGAATTACATGCTATGATTTTTTTCTGACGGATATTCTCAAGTTAAAGTTGATTTCATGTAATCGAATGAACTATCTTATAAGTAAAGTCGTCCCAGGAGCGCAACTCAACAATATTGGCAATATCATTTTAAAGTCGTCTACTTTAAAATGCATAATGTATGTCTGAATTGTCAATATAAATGAGTCAGATAAAATTAAATTATTAGAAGAATTTTTCACTATGTAACAAAAAACAAAATTTGTTTAATTTACTGTTTGTATTTTGAGAACGATTTCCGAAGTGGAAATTGAAACGTCAATAAACGTATTTTTATCTTTAATTGTGGCTTATTCCCAGTTTAATAGTAATTAATTCACATAATTTGTCAGGACGAGTACCTGGTCTGTGCAGCTGCGGTTTGGCCGAAATCCTGCCTGTTCCACTGGTAAGTGTTGGAATATGGTTTTGCTGATTCTATTATACAACAGTCTTTCGAACAATTTGTACACCATACTTAAGAGTGCGATGGGGCGGTAGTTTTTCGGTGAATTATTACTTTTCCCTGGTTTTAAAATGGCAACGATTTTTGCATTTTTGAGTTGGTGGGGGATATTTCTTCATGCGTAAATGGGTTAGAATATTCTGTTGAGTGTGCAAAACTAGATTTTATGGTTTCGAGGTCTTTTTTAACTTTAATTGTATGTAAACGATTTTGAGATGCCCTAGAGGTTGACATTATGTGCATAGCTATTTGGTCTGAAGTTACTAGGTTGGTTTGGCGAACGGGTGGGTTGCTACTTCCGAGTTTCCGTAGTCGACCAAGCTTGTCGACTTGACTTCTGAAAGTCTAGGTTTTTCTACTGTCTGAGTCCATTTTTCACGCCTGGCAGCATCAATGCTGTGGAGTAGTTCGTCTGCAATCTCCTGCTTTCCATCTTTGCAATATTCTTCATACAGTTTTTCGCTATGTTCTGTCCAACCAGGGATATATTCTTTGCGGTATTGTCTAGGGATTGTCGCTTTTGCTGATGTGATTATTGCTCCTGTTAGTCTCCCGTAGTTCTGGCTCTTTGGTTAAATCCATCCTAGGCATTTGTCAAGGTTACTGGTGAAAGCAGATCAGTTAGCTTTCTTGAAGTTCCATCTGGGGTGTGGGAACGATCTTATAATCGGAATGCTGATACCGATCTTGATTAGGACGGGGCGATGTTGACTATGTGGAAAGTCAGGCATAACCCTTCGTGATGCTGCTAGCGGTTGGCCTTTGTTGTCAATGGTAACAAAACAGAGATCAAGGTTATATTCTCCCCTTCAGGCCGCAGATCTGAAAGTGCCTCTATCTTTGGCGTCGAATAGAAGGTGGGCACCATGTTCCTTTGCCCATTCCACAAGGGATGTGCCATTTCTGTCAGTGTCTGAGTATTTCCACATCTCATGGTGGCTGTTGAAATCCCCTACGTATATGGCTGGGTGTTCATAGGGATTAATAACTTGGACAGGCCAGGTAGTAGCAGGAGGTTTGTATATGTTAGCTATTATGACATTGCCTATTTTCACAGTTACCTCGTGGATGTTGTTCTCGGTAGAAGTGGCGATTAATGCTGAATTTTCTGTTTGAACGGACATATGTTGCCACTCCGTAAGCTGTATCGTAGGTAGCGCCCAAAAGATCATAGCCGGGGATTTTTCTTCTTGAGCTTAGTTGACCTTCGTTTTCTGTGTGCGTTTCCTGAAGTGCTACTAGGTCAACTTCGTTGTCTTTTAAAAGTCTGTGCAGGATTTAACATTTTGCCCTGCTTATGCTTATGTTTGATCCGAGTTCTTTGGTCAAACGATCCTGATA